CGCTTCTTTTACTTATATCCACACGTTGTGCATTGGCATTGCTCTGGCATCATCATCTAGTCGTCATCATTGTTCATCCACTTTTCTTGAGGTAGTTCATGAAACAACGCACCTGTTGTCCAATGAACTCGCTTCACCGATTTATCGAATTTTGTTTGTCGATTTATTATGTTATTATATCATGCTATGCTAAAAATAATATACGGAAATATAGAATCAAAGAGGAGTCAACGATGTTACATCGAACAAGCTGAAGATTTCAAGTACTTTTCCACTGAATTTTACAAGATAATCATGCTAATAATACAATAGAAAAGCATTCGTTTGAAGAAATGGCGACCTTTGGTATTCCCCTCGTAGTATTCTCGCGTCGCTGTACGCGAGCCAAGGATTCCTCCAAGTATTAATTAACGACGCATCGTTGCACAATTGTGAATTATCGACGAACAATGGCCATTAACGTCTATCGGAAAGTCTGCCCCTTTCCGCCATAAATATTAACTTCCTCTCCCTTAAGCAATTAATTCCTTATCGTCTTGCGAATAACGTTCCGAATTACGTTCGTCGAAGCGGCTGTACGCGCGCCAAGGTTCGATTAAATAATTCGAAATACTCGATTACGCAATATGACGGACATCGATCGATTTAAAAATACTGTCCATTTCACAAGTATAATTTGCGAGTCCGATTCAGTGCAGTCATCGATGTTTTATGACTTTCCCACGACGTCACGCGATTATCTTACAGACTATGTATGCACGGTTCGTAAACAGAATTATTTTTCATCGTGCATAAATTCGATCAATCACAAGTTAGCCCATCATCAATATATATCATTGAATAAATTTTATTAATTATTTCATAATATATTTAATATTCTGTGAAAAGTAATAAAAACTTTTGGGTCGCTTCAGAGGGTGCAGTGATGCGAATTATCTTCGCTATATAGTGAACTTGCTTGCAATATCGCCGACGCACGAACGAAGATCAGTTGCATTTTGGCTGATTCTAATAATAATCGATGTGTCTCCAGGGATTTCTCGTTTGGTCCACAGCTGACATGTACATTGTATTTACGATGCGTTGTACCAACCATAATTTCTACGAGCTAGCTTTTAGCTTCAGCCACTCGTCCTTTTTGCTGCTTACAGTCGTCCCCTGTTCAGCGTCGATGGTGCTTCAATGGATCTATTTGTGTTCTGACTTGGTTTTAATATCTATGCCACATGGTTTTGCTATCGTTAGTTAGTCCTATGATCAGAGAGATATATTCCGTTCCAATCACTTGTCATTTAGTTATTTCAGAGATAAATCGCAGTTAATTTCTTTCAGACCTTCTTTCTTTTAGACGACACAAATAAATTTGTTTATGATGGTACTATACTTACAACTTCTTCGTGCGTATTTTTTATTTTACTGCACCAATATTTCATTGTACAATTGTGCTGAAAATGTGTCGCATGAAGCGGTAATAGACGGAACAGAACGGTAAAAAGATTGAAAGATTACGATTGTACGGCGACAGAACGCGCCTACAAGTTCATTTCCGTGTTATTAATGCAAAGATGCCGCGTGTTGGACATTCGTACGTAATATTTGACTAATTGAGGCCGGCGCGTGTACTTGGCAATTTCCCAAGTCGCTTTGATCGCACCTAGATCAACCCCTGTGAAAGCAACACGCGTACAAGTACCTATATACATCCGCGTCGGACGTGTTTCTGTAAATTTAAATACACGCGTGTACCGTTCGAAACGAGCAAAATGGATTGAACTGAATCTGGTAGTCTTTTCACGTCGCTCAAAGGCCACTTTACGTTGAAATAAGGAAAAAAAAAAA